TTCTCCAGGCTAAACATATCCAGCTCCCTAAGTCACTCCTCACAGGGCATTGTTTCCTCATAGGGCATGGTTTGATCACTCTCCTTTGGACACTCTCCAACTTGTTAATATCTTTTTGAATTGTGGTGCCTAAAACCAAATACAGTATTCTAGGTGAGGCTTGACCAAAGCAGAATAGAGTGGCACTATAGCTTCCCTTGATCTAGACACTATACTTCTATTGAAGTAGGCTAGAATCGTATTGGTCTTTTTAGCCCTTGCATTGTTGTATTGTCTAGCCCACATTTTACTAGCTTGTTTGCAAGAATGACATAGGAGACCTTGTAAATGCCTTACTGAACTCAAGATATGTTATATCCACATTCCCTTCATCCACCAAGCTGGTAATTTTATCAAAAAGAGAGAGAGAGAGAGAGAGAGAGAGCAGATTAGTCTGGCATGACTTGTTTCTTTGAAACCCATGTTCATGTTTTCTGATTATGGCATCCCCTTCTAAATGTTCACAAACTCTCTGTTTAATGAGCTGCTCTAGAACTTTATAAGAAAAAGCTTGAAAAATGGAATTAGAGTAGGATAGCTTTTGCATTTCCTAGACTAATGTGATTGTGGCACCTTACAAGCCTGCTGTGATACAATCCTATAATTCCACTTTAGTTGACATGGCTCCATCCTATGGAATACTGGGATTAGCAGTTTAGGCAGGACTATTTCGAAGTCTTGGCCAGAGAGATCTGGTACCTCATCAAAGTACAGTGCCCAGCACTCCACAGGATGTAGCCATGGCTGTTAAAATGGAGTAATAGTGGTATAATTATACAGTGTGGTAGGGCCCTAACATATTGCACTGGGAATGTTCTGAGAACAACAGGAAAGAATGGACATGTCATGCCACATTGGAGGAATGATGTGATATTATTGATAATAATTCAAGACTGCTTTTCACTGGTGACCAGGGAGACACTGGCATCCAGTGTCTAGCAAACCCATTGTGCCAACAGGACAGTAAGAGCATGATCCTGTTTCCCTAAACTCTCTCCCCAAAATACTTTTAAGAGACACTGTGGATTGCAGGGACAAGAGAGGATATCCAGTTACACAAGTAGAAGAAAAGCATTCAGGTGACAATAGTTAGTCTTTTACCCTCCTATGCACTTTTTACAAGTTTTTTTTAGAAAATGTGACAAAATATTTAGTTCTTTTGCTAAAGTTCTCTGTTGTACTAATCCAGTAATAACTCTTAAAAATAACAAGTGAAAAAGCTTGTGGCACAGTAGGTCCTCCATTAGAAAATGCTACCTCTGGGATCTTAATTCTCTGCATTCCTCCTCAAAAGAAGAGGAAACCATATAATGTGGGAGTGGGGTGAGAAGGGACAGAGAAGGGGCTCCCTATACATAACATTTTCCCTTCTGCATCAAGCTCAGGGTTTATCACATCATTTGATATGTTAATTCCTGTGAGGACAAGAAATTGTCTTGATAGTCCTGTTTAAGCTATGTTTATGTTATGGCTAACTGTAGCATGACAGGGCAGAGGGAAATACTTGCTTTTCCCTGTGGTCTGGACAGATTTTAATAGAGTGTTTTTGGCATTTTGAACCCTTGTTGTCCTGAGTTTGCTCAGCACAACGACCATGGGCTTTTGGCTTAATATAGATGGCAGCTGACATAGCATGATGGCTGTGGCTGTGTTTATAACTAAGACCACCATATCAGGCAGTTTCTCCCATGTGTTTGCCCTTTTCATACAATATTTACCTAGAGCTGCTTTAATGTGAAATGTCACTGCAGGTTGGTTGTGGTTTTTTTTCCCAAGCACCTACTGAAGAAGAAATGCTACCACACCAACACTTGAATTCTGTCAGAAACCATCTTAAAGTGGTTTATTTCCTCAAGTTTCAAAAGCAATTGGAATGCAGTTTACAAAGCCCCTTTTCTGTCCTTATGATTAAAATGGAAAAGCTGTGGTACCTCTGCTACATTGTCTTCCTTCTCCCCCTTCTTTCTTCTTTTTTTTCTGTTTCTTTTCTCCTTTTTTGTTAGAGGGAGGGAAGTCTCCCCATTCTTGAGGTTTATTAGAGCTTTAAGCTGTCAGGTTATTACTGTCAGTTTCCAGAAAGGAAAGAGCTACTGATGTAAAATTAATTTATTGAATGGAATTGTTTTGCCCCAGGGGAATAACATCACCATTTAATTTAATTTCCCCATCATATTGTCTCATTTACAGAAGGGGGGGGACTTTCCTTTTTAACAGAATAAGGTACATTATGCTGAATAGTGTTCTTGTCCTTAGATCATCACTTGTCAGAGCATTCTATAATATCTGCATGAATTTTACTTTCTGCTTTGCTTAAAAAAAAAGAGCATGGAAAGAGACATGAAGGTGCCCTCCTACCAAATCTCTTTCTTATATTTATTCGTAAAGACTTTGAATCAGAACACAAAAGAACTACAGCTAGTATGTCACGAGGTGATTTCCAGCATAACATGTTCCCCCTATGCAGGGAATACCAATGGAGAAATAAAAATGAAGAAGGTTGCCTACAAATATACCGATATACCGATATGAGAACTTTGGAGGACAGATGGTGAAGAGAACTAGGCAGGAAATTAACCCTTGACTCTTAGATTTTGCCTCCAAATCCAGAAGCAGCATGCCTCTGAACAACAATTGCCATGGACAACTGCTGAATGGGATCTTGCCCCTATATGTTGTTTGTGGGATTCCTAGAAGTGTATAGTCTTTGCCAACTGTGAAAATAGGAGTCTGCATTAAATGGCCTGTTGACATGTTCCTGTAGGGCTCTTATGTTTTTTTCTGCAAAAACCCATTTTAGTTCATCATTGTTAGCAGAGCTTATTTTACTTTATTTTTATTTTATTTTATTTCACTCTTAGGCCTCCTGCAGACTGTACATTTATAGCATGATAAGTCCACTTTAACTGCCAATTACTCCATCCTGTGGAATCTTGGGATTTGTAGATTTGTGAGGCTCTCTGACTGAGAATTCTAAATACCACCCAAAACTACAAATCCCAGTATTCCATAGGATAGAGCCATAACAGTTAAGGAGGCACCCAAATGCTATAACTCAATGGTGTGAACAAGGTCAGTTGCCATGCTGGCTGGAAGATTCTTGCTATACTGATGTGAGCTGTAGTCCAAGAAAGTAACTATTATTATTTATTATTATTTTTATTTTACAAAATACATAACAACAACATTTGAGTAATCAATACAACTGCCAGAAATTATGATATCAAAAACTACAAAAGTCAGGTTGAAAATGTGATTACAAGGTTAAACCTGAAAATTACAAGGTTAGACATGAAGCCAGCAACCGGATACTACTACAAAGAGAAAATAAGAGATAATAGAGCTATTCATTGATCAAAGTATATATTCTAGGCTCTCACTGCAATGTAATGTTTTCTTGTACATTAAAAAATAGGATGTCACATGAGAAGCAGCCCTTGAAAATAGACTGAAAATCATTTCCCACAATCACTTCTCCTGTGTGTTCATGGATTAAAAGTGCATCTGATTTTATTATTAGCATATAGTCCACATGTTGTGCTTCAAGAATACATTGAAGCACTGTAAATAGGCTTTTGTATGCTCTAGGAATAGGTGTACATTTGGCTATCCTCACTTCCATTATTTGATTAATAATAAACAATGGCCAGAATCCTGTATATTTTTTATGTATGTGTAAGCACCATATTTGGAAAACCATTGTGGTGTAGTGGTTTGAGTGGTGGACTACAACTCTGAGACCAGGGTTTGAATCCTGGCCCAGCCATGAAACCCACTGGGTGATCTTAGGCAAGTCACACTCTCTCAGTCTTAGAGGATGGCAATGGAAAACCCCCTCTGAAGAAACTTGCCAAGAACCCCCTTAGGGTTGCCATAAGTCAGAAATAACTTGGAGGCACACAACAACAACAAGGCACCATAGTTACTATGCTAGGCAGTGAATTCTGGCTCAACCTTCCTCCTCATCCCCACTTACTGGCAGCAGCCACTGTGATCAATAGGAGTCTTTTCCCTCTGTTGCTTGTGAAGAAGCTGGTTGTCATTCCCACCCCCTCCTGTAAGCAATCTCTATTGCAACAGGCAGCAACAGGGTCCCTGCTGCAATTATATCATATACCAAAAATCACATGCACAAGAGTAGGTGGGACCACTAGCTAGTTGCTTCATGAGCAACAGAGGAACAGACCCCCGCCCCCACATACACACACACATTGATTGCTGCTGCTGCTCTATTTGGTAAGGGGGGGATTGTGGGACCTTCACTATCCCTATGTATCCCTTAAACTAGGAACTATGTAGGAACCATGAATGCATAACAGTCTCAAGTACATAACTCCAGGTTACACATTTGTAACTGCCATACTAGATTCTGGCCAGAATTCATATCATGTTTGGAAAAATCTTTGCACAGTTGCCAAATTAAATCATTGAAGGAAGGAAGGAGTATAAATATAAATGTTGTCCATGTTTTCTCCACTTTCTTCCTCTGTTTTATAACTATAATTATTTCAGTAGAGAAATTAATTTACTCCAATTCTTTTCTTCATTTGTATGTTCTTGTTATATCTTCTTTAATTATCTAATGGATTTTCCCCATTCTGAGTTCATTAAAAATTACATATGGATTTGTACATACACTTATCCTCTCTTGCTATGAAATGATGTAATATACCATTGGCTGGAATTAGTCAATTAAACTGCTGAATGAATAAAAACAAAAACATTGCCACCTCATGAAAGATAAGGAAAAAAAGAAAGATCAGCACTGCTGCTGAGGCCAGGTGCATGCATGTGAGAAACAAAATGTATTTCCTCACCAGCCTGCTAAATGTTTCTGAGTCCCTATGTATCCTGTAAACCTCTATCTATGAGAGAGGTAATTTGGAGGGTAGAGAGCCAGACTAGGTTTTCTGGGACTGAGCTTTTCTGAGACTGAGAGAGTGTGATTTCCCCAAAGTCATTCATGTCTGAACCTGGAATTGAACCCTGATCTCCAGAGTCGTAGTCCAATGCCCAAACCACTGCACCACACTGTCTTTATAGCAGACCAAGATATTTCTGCAAAACAACATTACACCTAAGTTCTGAATTTTGTAGAAAAGGGGAATATATGTCCAATGGATAGATAAGGTTAACATATTGTTACATTGACATACATATATATGTGTGTGTGTGTGTCAATGTAACAATATATATATTTGTCCACTGGATAGATAAGGTTAACTTATAATGTTACATTGACATACGCACATGCACACACCCACACCCACACCCACATATATATATATATATATATATATATATATATATATATATATATAGGGGCTGAACAGACTGTCATTTTATGCCAGCCTGGAGGTGGAGTGGGGGTGTGGTGACCACATGCTGGCTGCCCCAACTCCACTCCAATGCTGCTATCAAGCTGCCCACCCGACCAGATAGTGGGAAGCAAAAGGGTGTGTCATTGGCACGCTGTTCCAAAGAAATGCCAAAAATCCGCCACCGCAATGGCAAGGGCAGCTCTTTGCCACTCTAAAAAGAAAGGCATTTTGCTGGCTCTTTTTAGAGTGGCAAAGCACTGGACCGGGGCAGTGGCGTGTGGTTGCTGCAGCCCCAATCTGGCAAAGAAAAGGGTGGGATCCTGCCACACCTTAGGGGCAGTCTCTTCAGCCCCATAGTCTGTTTTGGTTACAATAGAGAATCTTGGGAATTGGACTTTTGTTAGGGCTAGGGTGTTGAGTTAGTGTTTCTGTCTTTCACAGAACAACAGTACAGTTCCCATGGTTTTCCTGGGAGGGAATGGTTTTACTTCAGCTTTTCTGCAGTAGGTATTTCAGTTTCCTTCTTGCTATCATTTTCTAAGCTATCAAAGTGAGATACTTGAAGGGATCCTCATATTTATACAAATATTTAATTAGCCTAAAATAAAAAGAATACATGGTTTAATGGTCCTAAACCAGTTGCGTTCTTCAGATACATTCTAACTGACTTGCCTGTGCAGACTGACTGTTGGGAGACACTGTTCATATCATGCCTGAACAGTTTAAAGTGAGTCTTTGAGCAGTTATTGCTTTTGTTTATATAGGTAAACCCAATCTGTGCATTTGAAATGATTGATGAAGTGCAGTCCCACTTGGAGTGTTTGTCATCATTCATGTGCTGAAGTGACATTTCTTTATGTATTTTGGCATAAACATATGCAACTACTGGCAAAGCATTTGACCCCAGAGTCTGACTATTTGTCATTCTAATCTCTCTACTCCTTCTCCCACCCACCCTAAAAAGTCAAGCAAGTTACTGTATGCACTTAGGACACATCACTAATTATTCAACAGCATAGGATGCCTCTAGCTGGGTTTGCATATATTGCAGAATGCATCATTCCACCAACTAGGGTCCCGTGTGGTCTTATAAATAAAGTCAAGGTGTGTGTGTGTGGGGGGGGGGGGTAAATGTCAAGAGTGACAACCATATTGAACAATAATAGCTTTTCAGCAAAATCCAATGCTTACTCTGTAAAAAGGAAAGTATGGATAAAACACTACAATGTCATGCAGTGGCAAATCAAAGAAAAGCAGAGCTTAAATAAAATGCATTAAACATAACAACCCTGAAGCATACCTCCCTAAACAGTGGTGCAGTGACAAACAGGGAACCAATAATTCACAGTGCATGGGCAGAGATAAATTAATTGTTGCCTAACCTCCAGGATCAATGTTCAGAGTGTGTGTTATCATGTTGGAAAGCTATTTCTTTATTACTGAAGGTGGTGAAGCAATGTCAGCTCACAATAAAATTGGGTAATTTTGTGAGTATGCATAGGATTCAAGCCACAAAATACAGTCATTCTGCTTCTATGCACAGGTATGTGCCTGTTTATTTCTTTAGCAGTGAGTGAGGTAGATCAATTTCCTTTAAATCTGTTTTTACTTCTGCCTAACTAATTTTTTAAAAAAACCACAGAGAGGTCATACACAGGATAAAGCTAGTACAGTTGACCCTCCATATCTATAGATTCAACTATGAATTGTTTAAAAATATTCAAAAAAGATATAAATTCTCAATGGCAAGCCTTGATTTTGCCATTTTATATAAGGGATACCATATTACTACCCCACTGTATACAATGAAACTGGAGCATCCATGGATTTTGGTATCCACAGGGGGTACAAGAACGAAACACCAGCACTGTACATGCATATCCATACTTAAGTCTTTAATAAAAGAAAGCAGGACCAAAGACAGCCTGGAAATTTCATAATCTTTTCCAGAAAAACAGACTACAGAGTGGGGAAACCTAATGTCTATTGTAAATAGAATTTGTAATTATTATTTTTTTGGACTGCAATTTTCTGAATTCCCCTATGAAACTGTAGGGTTGGAAGTTATATTATGCATATGAATATAAGAATACATTTAGATATGAAACTAAGGGC